TGCGGCGAGCGAGCCACATGCGGCTTTTTGGCCCCTTGAGTATGGCTCTTCCTAAGCCTTAGGAGTACCCTAATTAAGTTAATAACGATGTACCTACCTATATAGTTTAAGTTTAAAAAATTTGGCTCTTAAAAGAAACTTCAGTCGTTGTACTGTTGATATTTGGCTCTGTTGACTAATGAGTTTGCCGACCACTGCACCAGAGGATTTCTGAAAAGCTTTACTTTTGATTTCTAATTACTTGTTTTTTTTTAATGTTTTTTTTTGATTTTTTACAGAGGGGAAGGGAGAGAGATAGAGAGTTAGAAACATCGATGAGAGAGAAACATCGATCAGCTGCCTCCTGCACATCTCCTACTGGGGATGTGCCCGCAACCCAGGTACATGCCCTTGAGCCGGAATCGAACCTGGGACCCTTCAGTCCGCAGGCCGACGCTCTATCCACTGAGCCAAACCGGTTTCGGCTCTAATTACTTTTTAAAAATATATACTTTAATTGATTTCAGAGAGGAAGGAAGAAGGAGAGACAGAAACATCAATGATGAGAGAGAATCATTGATAGGCTGCCTCCCGCACACCCCACCCTGGGATTGAGCCCGCAACCCCACCATATGCCCTTTCAGGGAATCAAATTGTGACCTCCTGGTTCATAGTTTGACGTTCAACCACTGAGCCACACCAGCCTGATTATTTCTAATTACTTTTGATCTGCAGATCATATTTTTAAAAATGAAGTATATCAAGCTTAGACTTTCTCTGTAAACCTACCTGTTTGTTCCCTAATTAAAAAATTTTCTATTGGAAAGAATTTGAGGACAAGACACATTATATGGTTTTGATTGCTCACATATTTCCCTGTGGTTGCACACCAGTCAATCTCTAGTCCAGTTTCCAGATGTAATGTCAAGAATATGAAATCCACTGTGTCTAGGATGGCACATTTAGTTTTCCCAGACGCACTTGGCCTGAGGTATAACAACACAGATGGGGCCATGGTATGCCACGAGATTAATGAAGTTCATGCTCTTCTGTAGTGGAAGTCCTGCTGTCCAAGATGAGGACAACTTTGCCCCTGAAAGAGTCTAGATCAGCCGTGGGCAAACTACGGCCCGCGGGCCAGATCCGGCCCGTTTGAAATGAATAAAACTAAAAAAAAAAAAAGACCGTACCCTTTTATGTAATGATGTTTACTTTGAATTTATATTAGTTCACACAAACACTCCATCCATGCTTTTGTTCCGGCCCTCCGGTCCAGTTTAAGAACCCATTGTGGCCCTCGAGTCAAAAAGTTTGCCCACCCCTGTTCTAGAGTGTCTTTGCCCTCACTAAAGCAGTGGTAATAAAGTAGAAAACATGATTGAGTAGCTTAAAATGATAATATGTGTTTCTCAGCATTTCAGTTAAAGATGACTGGGGACTTGGAGAAGCAGTTAATTCAGTGTTAGTGATGATCTGGATGAGAGGGTTATATGTATTAACCAGAAACTTTGAGAATAGAGAAGTTGCATAAACATTTTTCTTTATAAGAAAATTATCCTATTTTACATGTATAAGTGAACATTTGTGTGGGAAGAATTTTTAAGTTATTTATTTATTGAAATTAATAATTTATTTTATTATTATTGAGTTTATTGGGGTAACATTGGTTAATAAATTTGTATTGGTTTCAGGTTTGCAATTCTATGATATTGTGTGTTCATCACCCCAAGTCAAGTATTCTTCTGTCACTGTTTATCCCCCTTTTACCCTCTTCAAACTCCCCCAACCCCTCTTTTTCTCTGGTAATCACTATACTGTTGTCTCTGTCTAAGAATACCCCCCCCATTTTCTCTTTATTTTATTTTATTATTTTATTTTATTTTTATTTTTTTATTATTTTTATTATTTTATTTCATTTTTATTATTTTATTATTTTATTTTATTTTATGTCTATGAGTCTGTCTCTATTTTGCTTGTTAGTCCAGTTTGTTCATTAAATTCCACATATGCGTGAAATCATATGGTACTTGTCTTTCTCTGACTAGCTTATATATTTTCACTTATATGTGGAATCTAATGAACAAAATAAACTAACAAATCAAACAGAGACAGACTCATAGACACAGATAACAGACTGACAGTCGTCAGAGGTGAGGGGGTTGCGGGGCTGGGTTAAAAAGGTGAAAGGATTAAGAAAAAAAACAATCTCATTGACACAACAGTATGGTGATTACCGTAAGGAAAGGGGAAGGAGGGAGGTAGAAGAGGATTTAGGGCGGATAAATGGTGATGGAAGGAGACTTGACCTGGGGTGGTGAACACACAATACAATATACAGATGATGTGTTATTGACTTATACAACAAAACCTATATAATTTTATTAACTAATGTCACCCCAATAAATTCAATAAGAAAGCAAAATTTTCAAGTATTAAATGGTAAGGAGTTTCTTTTTAGGTATAAAGTTTTCTTATTTATCAGCTGGATGCAACTTTATCAGTTTTTCTTAATAATTATGTATATCTGGAGTATACTAGGATAGTGTTCTTAAAGAATATTTTGTACTATAAAATGATAATCTGACTTGATTCTTTTATTTTTTTATTTTTCAGAAAGTATCTGTATGTCACATCTTCTTTTAAAGGAGCATTTAAAAATGAAGTTAAAAAGGCAGAAGAAGCAGTAAAGATTGGTATGTAATTACCTATGGCTTACCTTATTATTGTTCATTCATTCTACAAACATTAATTGTGCATATATTCTAGGGTACATACTGTTCTAGGCATTGTAGGGATAGCCACAATTAATCAAATGTAGTTTCTTCCTCTAAGGAATTATATACACATTTTTCCATCTCTGTTAAATTATTGTTATTTATTATTTTTAGTATGATCCAAGTGGAACTGGATGGGTCTATTTTAGGAACTCTTGTTTTCACTAATGCTGAGTTAGATCGTTCCAGAGATTAGTGCTGCATGCACTTTAGGAAGGAAAGTTCTACACATTCACTTCTCTCACAGTGAGAGGGAACCATTGTTTCCCAATGATGTCTGAGGGAGGAGTAACTTTATGTCCATATTTTATGGATTTTAGATAGTTTTCAGTTAGCCAAACAGTCAGTTGTGACTTTTGAATTTGTATGTATGTGTTTTTTCCCTTTAAATTGCCATGTCTAAGAGGAAGTATGCTACCTACACTTAGAATGTGTAAGAGCTGTGGAAGGAGTATAGGATTTTCTGAGGTGATTATTTGTAATCTTCTCTCCCTGGTCATGGTTATATATATCTATGTAAGTATATAGAATGCTCACTGAAAATTGCTTGAAAGAATTTCATGGTATAATTACCTTGCTTCTGCTTCTAGCTGAACTTGTGTTGAAAGATGCTCGAATTAGAGTCAACCAGCCTGATAGAACTTCCTTGCCTTCTCCCGCCAAGGTATGACACTCAGAGCAATCTTCTTAAATGGCAAACAGTGTCCTTTGCCTTTTAATGTACACAGTGGTCTCTTGTCATGTACTCCCTAAATTTTTAAATGCAGACAAGCTCAGGTGACTAAGTTAATAGGAACACAGGGAAACAGAATAGATGAGTGCAGAGAAAGGAGACAAAACTCAGCAAGTGGGGGAAGGCTGAGACAGAGCAAAGATGAACAAAACATGGGGTGAATTCAGAACAGTCGGGAAGAGAGTCACAACTTATTTCTTTAAAATGAAAAGAAAAGGAATAGGAGAAAATAATGAAAAGCAGTCAAAAGCTAGCTTATCAAGTCTTCTTGAAAATATCTTTTCAAATCATAGCTCCCTGTGGACCTAAATAAATGGGCAGAACAGGGAGAAGACTAATACACAATCCTTCTTTCTAGAGTTGGGAATTATGTGTTGTAATTATGAATATTAATAACAATGCTTCCAGCTCACAGAGCTCTTTTCGTATGAGGTGTTCCACACAGTTCATAAACATCCTCTGTAATTCTTGTAGAATACCCACGAGTGAGATAGGTTATAAAGAACTGTTGTTATTAATTATAATGCATGGCAACTAAGAGAAGAAGAATATTACTGCAAGACATGAATTTAAGTTTTCCAACTTTTGCCAAAAATATACAAAGCTTTCTAGCATGGTGAATCATTACACTACATATTTGCTTGCATACAAAGGGATAAGTAGGTTTTTGGAGAAAAAGGTTTTACTTCATCTTTCCTTCATTCTCTTCTATGGACTCAGTGTATGATTTCTCTCTGAGATTTGCCCTAATACATGTAAAGACCAGAGCTGTATCTGATGAAGAGTTCTCATGTCTGATGGTCATGATTGGGAATTAAATCAAAGATCGGACTCAGTGTATGATTTCTCTCTGAGATTTGCCCTAAAACATGTAAAGACCAGAGCTGTATCTGATGAGTTCTCATGTCTAATGGTCATGATTGGGAATTAAATCAAAGATTGGCACCTAGTAATTCCCCAAAGCTATCCATGATTTCCCCCAAATTCTATTGCTTTTTCCCCCCATTTATTTTTTTTAGTTAAAGCTAGACCTATCTTGCTATCAACTTAAAAGTTTAATCTTTTGTTATTTTGTTCCTAAGAAATAAATTTCCTTGGTTTTATGTATTTGAGAGACAGACTTTCTAATGGGTCAGGATCTTGCTTTCTTGTTGCCTTAACCCTTTGTGGTCGTATTAAATTTGGACGTGGGTGTCGTACTGGTCGGAATTAATTTCCATTGAAAGAGCAATGATACTTAACATGCAAGATTATGAAGGATAAACAAGATTTATTAATTCTTTTTTGGAACTACGTCACTACTAGTAGAATCACTACAAACGTTATCACTTTCTACGTCAGAGTCAGTATTCAAGGTGCCAAAATAAAACTCTTCATCGTTACTTTCAGATTCGCAGTACACTTCTTTCGGTAACTTTCTTTTTGCCATTTTGGAGTATTATTTTGAAATATCTTAACAAGCGAGAATGCCTAATTACAGTTAAACGTAATTTGTAAAGCTTTATTTGATTTGTTTATATTGAGTTTCGATATCTCCGATTTGTCGGGGCAATGTTTTGGTTCGTGACAAGGTCGCTTAGACACTTAAGAGCTTTCAGAGAAATTATGAACTGATACATGAATGAATAGAGTTAAGATTCGTACGGTTCCTTGCTGTGGTGGCTGAGAGCAGACATACGACCAGAACGGTAAAAAAGCTTTGGTGGCTGAGAGTAGACAAACGACCGCAAAGGGTTAACCTGTTACTTCTCACTGCCTCTTTGCCCAGTGCTCTGAGCAGGGACAGGAAGAGCAGGGAAGTCTTTGACCAGCTCACTTTGTTGCTCTGATGCACACTGGTTTCTTTAATGCAGAGAAGAGAGCAAAGCAGAATGACCTCTGCATTTGACTTCTAAAATTCCTCTCGGCAGTTGAGTGGTTGAATTTGAAGTAAAATGAAATACTTACCTTTTTTTTTTTACTTTTAAGTCAGTGAAATTAATGTTCAGTCAGCAGTATACCCATCAAATGAGATGTCCATTTTTCACATCAGGTGGATGGAGCATGTTAAAAGTCTATTCTTATTTGTGAAATAATAATGCATTTTTTCTTTCTAGTTAGAGGGAGTGTATTAGAGATAGGGTAGTGAGTGAGCCAAATATATCAAATAAAAGAAAAGAAAGACAGAAGGGCCTGGTACTGAGGCACTGTGAGAGGGAGTAATCCTAGATGGGATATCCTCAAGTTGAGGGTGTATCGGGAACTTTATATGAAGGAAACATTTTCTTTTGGCTACTGACAATTTTTTTTTATTGAATTTATTGTGGTGACTGACATTGGTTAATAAAATTATATAGGTTTCAGGTCGGATGAAATTTTTGAATCATAATTTTTTCCCCTGAAAGAAGCCTTAGTGATTGATGGTGTGATGCAGCATTTTCTGTTCTCACAGGTGAAAGCCAGAGCCTCGGTACGTTGAATGACTACCCCGAGCTGTCAGGAAGTTTATGTGAAAAACCTCTGTGCTTACAGGGAGCAGTGGCCCTTTCTCTGAAAGGCAGAAAGGACATCGGAATTAGTGCAAGATGAGAACTGCGGGCTGGGATTTAGCTTGTCTTCTTAGCTAGTAGAACTTAGTCATTTATCAAGTATTTATTGAGTATCTACTGTGGTAATATTGCATTAGGCAATGTGACCTATCACCGTTACCCTTGTGAAACATTTGTATAATAGGATAATAAATATCAGATCAGCTTTCATTAATCTAATGGCATAATGTTCTCTCCTAACCAAATGTACATCTCCAGGACATATTACAGAAAGCTTTGGAAGATGTGGAAGCAAAGCATAAGATTCTTAAAGAAAAACGGAGGTAAGACATTTGATTTTCTGTTTGCCAGAATCCTTGTTGCTATATATATTTTTTATAATATATTTTATTGATTTTTTACAGAGAGGAAGGGAGAGGAATAGAGAGCTGGAAACATCGATAAGAGAGAGACATTGATCAGCTGCCTCCTGCATACCCTCTACTGGGTATGTGCCCACAACCAAGGTACATGCCCTTGACCGGAATCGAACCTGGGACCCTTGAGTCCTCAGGCCGACGCTCTATCCACTGAGCCAAACCGGTTAGGGCCCTTGTTGCTGTATTAAAAACAAATTCTGATTTCTGAGTAGGCAGATTTGGTGGTTTTTGTGACAAGTTCTCTTTCTCAGCCTGTGACATCTTATGATAGATATTAAGCATCAAAACCCCCCAACCAACATAATCAAGCCAAAGTGTTTATAAAATATATATCTGCATGTACACAAATGTTTACATAATGTTAAAATTTCTGAATACAGAGTAAAACATTAGTTCAGTGTCTGATTGGACGAAGAAGTGAACTTCCGAGGGAATCAGCTGACAACTTCATGTTCCCCATGTCTTTTGCCATTTAAACTCCGTTTCTTCCCTCTGTTGGTACTGATCCAACTTCATGTTCCCCATGTCTTTTGCCATTTAAACTCTGGAGCGTTGGTCCCCGTTTCTTCCCTCTGTTGGTACTGATGAAAATTTATGATGGAAAATCTTTCAAGTAGATTTATCACTTATAGGTAATTAAGATAAAAATTGCGAGCCTATATTACAACACCGTTATTGGCATTTGTAAGGTTGACTCAGGTATTTCACAAGTTAAACTGAAAATAGTTGCTGTTCTTCAAGTAAGGTCAGACTGAGAACTGCATTAACTTTGAGAAACAAGTTTTTAGGGGAGTATTACTAGTTTTCAGCATTATTTTTTGTGAACCATCAAGTGCTATACAATCATCACTTTCCCCAAACCTTAAATTTGAAATGTTAATTATGCATTTATCAAGATAAATGTTAAGTGAATGTCAGAGAAATCTTCATTGAAAAGCAAAGGCCTCTTTAAAGTCTTCAGGAAGAAAAAGCTGTTTGATGGCTTGTTTGAAGTCACAATGATATGCAGGAAATGTAACCAACCTATATTTTATTAATTATAAAGCCAGTTGGTGTGAAATTTTTATAGCAAAATGCTTTTTAAAAAAAATAACTTTGAAGGCAATCAGTATGCCACTTAATATCACAGAGTGACTATGTCATATGCTGTAACACCTGTTTTGGGGTTCCTTACATAGTATTCTTTTATGTTAAAGAGTGGGGGTCTAATTATTGAGTAGACATTTTTGAGGAAAAGTTTGATTCACATCTATTTAACCCTACATGCACATGCATTTAAAAACACATAAATATGAACCCATATTAATAACTTCCTCAGAAAGTCTGATGTACTTATATCATATCCCATGGAAAGACTGACAGAACTTTATCGTTGTCCTTTAATGATAGATACATTTAATTAGTCCAGTCAGTATCTGATGTCAGTTGTAATAGCCGGTGGGCATGAATTTGAAAAGAAAAAGCTGTTTTTGTGGAATGAAAGGAACTGCAGGATGGGTGGAGGGGAAGAATTATATTTGCAATCATTCTTGGGAAAAGAAAACATTTGCTAAGCACCTAATCTGTTTCAGGTTTATATTTAACATTATCTCCTTTAGTCTTCACGGCATTCCATGTGGCTAGAGAGGTGTTTTCTTCCATTATTTAGATGAGACAGAAGGTTGAAGTGATGCATCATAGTTACATGGTTGTTACAAAGACAGGCTTGTATTTTTGTCGTTGAAGCCAAGTCCATCTTTCTGATTCTTACATCCAGGCACTTTTCATAGCTCCACACAGCCTCCTGTTACTCCAGTTGTTTCTGCCACATGCTGCTTTGTCTCAATTTCCATCTTACCCTTTTAATAGAAAAGTCATGTAAAACACAGTATTGCAGGACAGAGTTAGACAAACAGGAGCTCATAATCTTCCTACACTTGCTTTATTAACTTTAATTTATCTTTGATTTTGGAAAAGGAAAGGTAAAGAATCTCTTTTGGCATGTTCCGACCTATGCAGTATACTTGTAGGCTTGAGAACATGCTAGAAGTTAGAAATCACATCCAGTGTCAGAAATACCTGCATTTAAAAATAGTCAAATTATTAGTTTTCAAAAGTGCTGCAATTAGGTCAGTTAACATTTTACAACTATTTGGCATTTTCTAGTTCTTATAAATGTAAATTGGCAAACTTATTTTTGAATCCAGGAGTGCTTGTGTTTGACTGGCATGGTTATTGGCCATTATGTTTATGCCGAATACTTGGCTATGCAGGGATGCTGAGTGTACCCATTTGGTTTTGCAAAATACCTGGATATCTTATATATAATTCCTTTGATAGTTCCCTTCTGAGTTTATTCACATTTTTGTAAACTGCATATTTTTACTTAATAAAAATATTTTTAACTTTCCTAAATATAATGCTAGGGAATTAAAAACAGCAAGGACACTGTCTCTATTTTTTGGAGTGAACACAGAAAACCGAAACCACGCTGGGATGTTCATTTACAGTAACAACCGCTTGATCAAGATGCATGAGAAAGTGGGCCCACAGTTGAAACTGAAGTCCTTGTAAGTATGTTTTGTGTTCAGAAGCATAGGCAGGAGGAAGGAGGCTGCAGTGCGATTCTGTCTGCGGAGTTGGATGAGTGATTAAACATAATTGGAACAGGTGTCATATCCTCTGTTCACCCTTCCTATCATTGCACAGCCATTAATCCACCTAATTTACACCAGTAGAGCTGTATGCCTGCTTCAAGGAAGAAGCTCACTTCTGGAAATTTTTTCAGTGCATTTTCTGAGCAACTTGATGTTTTACCTTTCTTTGCGCCATTTACTCAAATTAAGGTTTTAGTATTTTACCAACTAAAAAGTAATGCAGGCATATTAAAGAAATTTTAGAAAAGAAAAATCCATAGTCCTAAAAAGCAACTTGTAAGATATTGTGTAACCCCTTCATGTATAGGTTCTCGCCAACATGAGCATATATTTTTAACATGGCAGCCTATTTGAATTCCAGAGTAATAGTCTGGTGCTTGCCCAATGGTCTGAAACTCCACAAGCTGCTTTCATGAATTATGTAAAGTCCTGAAAAGAGACCATAGGGAAGCACAGAGACAGACAAGACAACCGTGACCAGTAGAATGGCTCAGGGGAAAGTTTTCATCTTGCTTCCTCACTCTCAAGGAATTAGCAATTCATTCATATGTTCATTTAACAAGCACTTATATTGCAATATCATGCGGGCCAGGCATTGAACTAAGCTCTGCAGACAAGATGGTGAAGACCTACTACCACTTGCTGAGGAACTTATAGTCCAGTAAAAGGGACGAGTGTATAAATATGTATTTTTCATATGGTTTGGAAACAGCAAGAATAATCTTTTAAAACATAAATTAATTTACTGTCTTGCTTAAAACCCCAGTGCATGTAGAATAGAGGTAGTTGCTGTGGTCTTCCAGTGATCTGGTCTCTGCTTGGCCCTGTAACACCCTGCCCCACCCATACCCACCCTCTCACTGCATTCCCTTCACACCACCCGGCATCCTGTTCCTCAGACGTCCTAAGCTCGCTCCTGCCTCATGTCCTTGGCACTTGCCATTTCCTCTGCCTAGAGCCTTCTGTCTTTAGATCTTACTGCTGGTCCTAGCATGCCACTGAGGCACCAGCCCTAAAGTCCCCTCCACAGGAAGGTCTTCCTGGACTGCCTAAGTACAATTAGCCCCTGCCATCACTACCCTCCT